CAGGATGTAATTGTACTTCAGTGTAAAGTTGTCACAGTGACTAGTGACTCTAGCAGGATGTAATTGTACTTCACTGTAAAGTTGTCACAGTGACTAGTGACACTAGCAGGATGTAATTGTACTTCAGTGTAAAGTTGTCACAGTGACTAGTGACTCTAGCAGGATGTAATCGTACTTCAGTGTAAAGTTGTCACAGTGACTAGTGACTCTAGCAGGATGTAATTGTACTTCAGTGTAAGGTCTTCACAGCGACTAGTGACTCTAGCAGGATGTAATTGTACTTCAGTGTAAAGTTGCTACAGTACTAGAGACTCTAGCAGGATGTAATTGTACTTCAGTGTCATAGTCGCTGTGAGGACCTTACCTCTAGCAGGATGTAATTGTACTTCAGTGTAAAGTTGCTACAGTGACTAGTGACTCAAAGCGGGTTGTAACCCACCGTCGTTGGCTTAATGGCCTTTTAGAATAACGAAATAATGTTGGGTTTTATGTAAATAATCGATTTTTCTAATGGCGTTTGAAATGTCGAACCAATGAGTAATTAGGTTCCTAAATTGTTTTCTCAATATCATCAAACTAATTGCTCTAAATTGTTTTATCCGTCAATATCAGCACATTGATCTTCAGCGTTTTTGAAAACAGAAATGTAAATCAAGAAAGTTTCACATCTTTGAAAAAGTAACGACATAGTGGACATATAAAACCAGAGCATTTTTATATCTACATAAGAAAACTGAGATTGTTCGATTTCCGTTGCCAACCCCGCTGTCTAAATGTTTGATATTTCAGAAAGTGTTTGATAACATATTAATAACGTTTTAATATTTACTCTTTGTTTTAAGTGTTTTAGTTTTTAAAAATGTTTAATTTCTTGTAAGGATTTAATAATTTTGTACCAAAATGAAAGTATTAAATTTTCTTTTCCAGTTTAAGAATAAAAAAAGGGGTTTCATGTTGCTTATTTCTGAATGGATCACTCATACTTCGTGGCCAAAATTATACTCGATTTAATTATTTATTTACAAGAGCTATTTTTGTTATGAAATATATAACTTTTGCTCTAATTAATTACGCGTTTTTACATATATTATTTGTATTATAAAATGAAAAATAATTTAGGTTAATTAATTATTTGTTTATATTAATTGTTCGTACAATCCTTTTATTTCAAAATTCGTTTAAATTATGTCACTTTAACCCTTCATTTATAACATTTTGAAAATTTTCGGATCGTACAACTTTTTCTTTCGGCAACCTCTCTTTTCTTTGACTTCACCACAACAGTGTTAGTAATTCTTCACTAAATACAAATATCTTCAATAATCAAATATTTTTTGTGATGAACAAGAATCGTCACTTATTTTTGAGTATCTTCTAAGTATATATATTTTGATGAAGGTTACCTATTATTGTCTCCCAAGAAAATCTTACATCTCGTGCGTAATTGTTATAGACATACTCCTGAAAGTATTCTGATTGGAAAGCTAGAAAGCGTTCTGATTAGAGAGCGAGATACTGAACTTCATCAGCGCCTACTTGTATATTTGATTAAGTGATTTAGAAATCAATAATTCTTTTTTTCTTCGCTTTACACACAAACTAGAAGTTGAGTTTCGTGAATTTAAATCAACTTGTCTTGGTCACGAGAAGCCCGCATTCATTAAGTTATTTCTTATTGTTTCAGAAACAGTTTTCTAAGAACAATAGGATATAAAACTCGATCAGATCAGCTTAACTCAATGAGAAGTTAATGTTTAATAAATGCTTTATTCGCACGACTAGCTGCTGGTTTAAATCAAAGAGAACAAAATCATAGTAGAGTTTGTCTCATATTATTGGATATAGTTGTGTTCGTTGGTTATTAGTAAGAATTAGTGCACATTAATAATTTTGAAAAAGAACGTAAAATGTCTAAGGTATTTTTTTCGTAAACTTAATCTGTTCTATAAATGAATTTTGTTCGTAGAAGTATAAATCTGCAAATCATGACCATAAACCAGGAAGATTGAGAAACATTTTCAAACCTGGCCATGTAAATAAAGCAGCGAAATAGATCGCCTTGTATGCTTCATCGAACTGATCTAAAAACAAAAACGTAAAAACCCCAGACTGCTGGTCGCACATTGCTAGAATCCATCTCTGCAGGAATTATGGCCTGCTCAATCTTCTTTTCTAGAATATTATGAGAAATTTTGTGGCTATTTCTGGCGGTTGTAGTGACGGGGATCCTTCAGACGCAAATCGCATAAAAGTCGTAAAGGTCCAGCGTGCGGACATGCGCCAGCTGCTCGTACTCAGTGATCTCTAATCTTTTTCTCTCTTTTATCAGACAATAGATACTTTAATATCACGTGGAAATATTGCGTCGATCATTGTGAATAAATATTCATGATTTATAACTAACTGAATAATTTCCAGTCGACGTTTTACTCACCTTAAAAAATACACGTTTCGTTCAAATCCAGTGCTTGCTAATAAACAAGATTGTCCGACTAGATCTCTTAATACATTGCTTGGTTGTTTTTAGTCGAGCACAAAGCTACACAATGTGCTATCTGTGCTCTGCCCACCACGAGTATGGAAACCTGGTTTCTAGCGTTGTAAGTCCGCATACAAACCACTGTGTTACTGAGTAGGGGGAAGGGAGAAGAGCCTTAATAATTGCTATAGGACGCTAAGCAAAACACTGCCAGTTCTATGAATATCCCAACAAAACGTATCCATAAAGCTAAAGTAAATAAATATTGAGACCTTTTTTGAAAATTGATATTATTGATAAAAATTAATCATATTTATTAAGCATTTAAACAGTTGCTTTTATTTCAGTAGTCTCATAGAGTGTACCCCCGATAGGACACAGCAGGTAACCATTTCTCTAAAACAAGCAAACCTAAGAAATCTGATATTTCATCATAAATATCTAAAACAAGGGATATCTGCTCGTAGCCGTCTCTACACAATGGATATCTGCACATAGCC